TGGAATAATTTTGGAAAATGGGCGTGGCACCGCCCACTTATGATCACATATATGTATATCGGTAACCGTTTTACCAATTTGACCCAAACTCGGCATGGGTATTGTGCTTGCCACATAGAAGCCAAACGTTGAAAACTATTGAAATCGGACTAAAATTACGGCCGCTTTNGACTAAAATTACGGCCGTTTTCCATATAACGGTAAATTCCAGAAATGCTTGAAATTTCAATACTTCGAAATTTAAGGACGCTAATTTACTCAAAATTGATATACCCCGTCTTACCATCTAGCGGTAGCTTTCGGAAAGGTGAAAAAACATATATTTAATACTTGCGGCGGGTATTTAATGTTCGGCTCCGCCCGAACTTAGACTTTCTTACTTGTTTATATATAAAATTTGCAAAAACTGCCATACTGCCATTTTGTTTTTTAATGTTATTAGGCTCTTATTTATCCAAATTTTCAGATAATAAACAAAAATATACAAATTGGATTTTACTTGTTGTTGTAGACGTTTTTTTTTTTTGTAAATGTATGGCTTACTATTATAAAATCAAGCGAGTCGCATGGGTGAACAAAAAACGCGTCTTCACGTACATACTACGCACATAAATATATAAAAATAAAATAATCCAGATATTTACATACTTTTTTTTGTACAATAACGGTTCTTTTTTTTGTTTTAATGCGGTTTTGATTTAAGGACATTTTCAGCTTTTATATGGAAATAAAAAACTTATTATGCATATTAAGGGCATCTTACTCTACGTTTTTATGTTANTGTTTTAATGCGGTTTTGATTTAAGGACATTTTCAGCTTTTATATGGAAATTAAAAACTTATTATGCATATTAAGGGCATCTTACTCTACGTTTTTATGTTAATAAGTATGTATACAATTAACGGAAGTAATCCCTCGATGGCTTAATCATCCACAACACTGATGGTTAATCTCTACAATTAATTGACACCTCTTCAACCCCACTTTGTGGCTTACAAGCAACTAAAATGTACATAAACAATAACATACTTAGATATGTAGTTGTAAAACTATAANTGTGTGTACAAATGTACATAAACAATAACATACTTAGATATGTAGTTGTAAAACTATAAATATATACATATATATGTATGTATGTACATATGTATATATAAATATTTTCACACCCATGCAAACTGCTCAAAATTGGCGACAAATTGCCTCCGGTCTATGCTAGCCAATATGTGTAAATAAACGCCTACAAACAAAGTTCCGGCAACACCTACCAGGTGCGCGCAAATCACATTAACGGCACGCCGCCACTCAAGCTCGAAATCGCCTACGCAAGGTAAAGTTAATACACTTAAATAAACTGTAATCGAGATGCCGCCAAAATGTGCGCACACTTATCGAAGATGTAAGGTATGCATAAATAGTAGGAACCCTGGTCTACAATGAACTTACATACATATATGTGTGAATATTTATTTGTCTACTTGAAGGACCCTACCCTCCCTGCCCTACCATCAGATATACATACATACATACATACACATGTGTATATGCACCAGCGGTTTTGTAAAGCAAAACACACATGTGTACGTACAAAATTTGCATTTTCCCACAAAATTCCAACACAAAAAATTCCAACGTCCATTGCGTTTGCTGGCGTAGTCAACGCGGCGTATGGGTAACCTTTACTGCCAGCCACTGTGTTTGCTCGCTTGCGAAGTGTACACACACCACATCCCATAAGTCATAAAAACATTGTTCAGCCTGTTAATGTAATATGTTTACCATGTTGTTGTTGTTTATATGGCTTCTGATGAAGCTGTGTGGCGATACCTAGCTGCTCTTTTACTTTTACATATTTTACTTTTTATTGCATACGGGCGTTTTATCCCCGAACTAATATGGTGTCGAAAGGTATATGCTTATAGCCTTCTCGATGTTGCTATTGGCGTTAACCCACCGCATTGTTAAGGTTATTGAGATCTAATGCACTTCTATTTATTAGTGCATACGTATTTACTGCTAGCATTATTTGATTGGAATGCAAGTTACCCCTCTTAGGGCATTTGAAATAATTTCCTTATTCAAAGAATAAAAAAAACATTAGGGTGACGCACCAAAAAAAATCGCAGATTTTTCACCGGAATTGTGAGGGATCTGCCAAAATATTAATAATATATTATTTATTAATAATTGAATTAATACACCTTTGAAGAAAGTACGTGGCATGCACACCCTAGTTACAAGATTATAAATTCAATTTCCAGAAGAAGGTCGATATTTTGCCTACTTTAACGAAAAATGTTCGCAAAAAATATTTTTTCCCTCAAAAAGGCAAAGGAATAGGTTATTCGTTACCTAAAGGTGAAAAGGTGCCAGTAGCGGTAGAAGTTCTATCTGCTATTTCGGAGATTACCACATCTTCTTATCAGACTTCTTTTCTACACTTCAGCAGGAATTGAACCCGCAACAACGATGTGCAAAGCCAGCAACGCTAACCACTGAGCTATGCACACCCCATAGACTCGTGTTGCCAATCCATTTACTTATTGTTGTTGTTTTTTTTTCATTTTCTTTATATAACAATATCGTGGTGCAAAGCTCAATAACGCTATTGAAATTTAATATTTTTAGTTTTACTATTTATTTTAATATTTCTAAATGAAAGATTTCTCATATAACTTCCGTTTGATACCCGTTTTGTAATATTAGGTTATCTTATCAATGTAATAAAATTTTTGCGGTATTACCGATGATATGTATACAATATCAAATTCCATCTACGTATAAGTGCTTACATATTTGCTCGTGTAAAAGCTGCTGGTTCTAAATTACTGACAAAATAGGGGTATTCTCCAAATCTTGCAAAGCCATTGCACGTAGCACGGATTGCATGAATTGCATAACTTGCAAACACACAACAACAAAATACATGGGAAACAACATTTCCTATCGCTGCAAAATATGCAACGTCGAAACCCATATATATATTTTGCAAAATAGCATAGCAAGATAAGTGCGACCCTGTGCTAGTTGTTTTGTTGTTGGAATCGCTAAATATTTCTCTCATTCCTCTCATCTCGCTCACTTCTTTTTTTTGCTGTCTCTTGTTATTGTATTTGCTACATAATTTCGCTGCTTGCTACCCATGCATGCTATCACTTTGCTATGGGGTGCTCTCGTACTCTTCGAAATTTGGAATAGTATTTTTGCATATCATGCAATCCGTGCATCGTGCAAGACTTCGAGAATACCCCTAATGAGAATAAATTTTTTGTGTTTTCAAACAAATAGAAAGTTTTGAGTTAATGCACATTTGCAGAAGGTGGCCAAATTGTGGAAACATAAATGTCATAGCAAAAATATTTAAATTGGCTTTTTTTGACATGAATATATTTAAGGGAAATTAAAGCTTCCCTTGTCACTCAGAAAATGTAGCATTTAATTTAATATACGTCAAATGTGTTGCAACCCACATCATTTCTCTTGAAACTAATTAAAATTCACGCAATAATCTACTATGACGCGACTTTTAGCTTTTTACTTTGTAAAAAAAAAAACGAAAACCTTACCAACACACGTATCGCTCGCATACAAATAACACTCTTTGCATAAATAAATGCCGACATGCATACATATGTACATACACGCAAATCTGTGTTTTTATTACAAGGAAAAAATTTCTGACAACAATGTATAGAAATATTATTAGATTAAAAATGGTTGAATAGATTTTAATAACAGCGGCAATTCTTGTATACAATTTTAAATTTTATTTAAATTTACTGCTTAAATCAAAATCTTTCAACTTTTCATAAATTCGAGACACAAATGAATTTCTTACTCATACTGTGTTACTTGGACTTTCGTTAGTTCTTGGTACTTAAGGTACACATAACTGCACAACTTTTGTTTGACTAGCCAAGTATCTGTGCAATTCCATAAAGTTTTAGCAAAGCTTGCACGCCATACTTGCATTGTAATACAATCTTTATTACGCACTTGCACGCAGACTAGTTACTATATACATACATACAATTTTATTTATTTTGCTTTGCTTAAGCAAGTTGAAGCGCATTCGCATAAGCAGCTATTTACAAACCTTATATTCTGCTGCTTGGCTTTAAATCGAAATTTCTGCCAATGGGGTAAGAATAATTTATAGAAAAAAAAACGGAACAAAAACATTTTTTTCGTTAGTTTGTTTAGTATACATATCATTTTCAAATTTTCATAATTCAGGAAAATTACTTATTTTCAAAAAAATTTTGTTTCAAAAAAAATTAATTTCTCTTAACGCAATAAGTATGCCTACATTTACTACATTATATTGTAAAATTATTACCATCATATACCGTCAAATAATATTTACATGCAAACATAATGTACTAACATCTCGCTGACGCTGGTTCATTTATTCTTTTTTTTTTCAAACAGATCACCACTGATTTTCGAGCCCGATGCCGCGCACACTACAGCCACCTCAGCCACTGAGGCCGACACAGATGATGCTTTGCATACACGCCGGCTAGCAGTGGAGCGTGGAGGTGCTGGGGGCATGCCGCCAAGCACAGCAGGTGCTGACAGTGGGCAATCGAATCAATCAAGCGATGTTGACGAGCTACAACACTATGATAAAGGCAAAATGTAAGTCTTATTTCACTTTGTACTCTTAAATATTTACTTATGTAAATACGAGTACATACACATGTATATTGTATGCAATTTGTTTTATGTGATTATCAATATTAATATTTGTGTTTTCTCATTTAAATACAAATACATACATATATACTGCTCCGCGGTCGGCCACGTCATGCAGGATCAAATCAATGACACGCGCTACCGACCATCTCAAGTCACAGGATTTTCAAGTTTGCATTACCATAATTGAAGCTAGACAGCTGCCTGGCCTTAATATGGATCCAGTTGTTTGTATTCAAGTGGGCGATCAAAAGAAATATACCAGCGTCAAGGAGAGCACCAATTGTCCGTACTACAATGAGGTGCGTGTTGAGTTGAGAATGCTTGAATTTATTGAAGTAGCGTGAACCTTAAGAGTTCTATTCTTTAATTCTTTTGTATGTATGTATTTTCTATGTTATCCATTTCGTTTTTTGCAGTATTTTGTGTTTGACTTTCACATGCCGCCAGTGATGCTATTTGATAAAATTATAACGTTATCGGTGAGTAGAATGTGTTCTAATTAATTATATGTACCATTAAAACATAGATTCTTGTGAGCGAGTGGCAGACACTCGACACATACAGACAATACAATAATACATTAAGCTAATAGCATAAAGATATCAATTAAATGTGTCTTGCTGTATACTTACATACTTACGGTGGCTGGCAGATGCAGACTCAAGTGTTGATTTTCTTTTAGCAGAGTAACCCATGGCGTATGAGCAACAAGTAGTTCGTTGACTCCAATCATTAACTCAAAGCGGTGTTCACATAAGGCGATTTTACAGGCCTAGTGCGGCAATGGGATACCAATAGGATCTTTTTTCGGAATAAAACTAACAAATTATGTCCAACTCAATACCAAGAACTCTTAGTCAAAACTTTATGGTCGAGGAAGAAATTTTCTATATAATTTAAGCGGATAGTACTACAATACGATTAATCACTTTCGCGTAATCAATTGTTATCGTTTTCCTTAAAGTTTGTTCAAACGCTTGAAAATTATTTTATGCTCATATTTCTGTCAAAAAAAAAATCATTGAATTTAAAAATCGATTATCAGAAAATTATGTATATGTAAGCCGTGGCTTAGTAATTCCCACAGCAATTGTGCGGAGAATTTTGTCTTCTACAATGAAAAAAATATAAATCCCATTGTTATCGCTTTTTCGGACTATGCTTAAACGTTGCTGTGTGAGTTAACGTCCCATTAAAAAAAAAATCAAGAAAATCGATAACACGTATTTTTTGGAAATAGACATTTTATATTAGAAAATTTAACAATTTTATACATAGTATATGGTTTTAAAAATTTTTCGATTTAATATTCCAAAAGTCTTTTGAAAGTTAAAAATTGTCCTAATCGGCACAATTTTTGCAAAATTTTAAAATTAAAAACAATGTAACGTTTTTTTAAAAAAAAAGGACTACTCGAAAACGACTGCACAAAAAAAAATCAGGAAAGTCTCCCTCAGCTGCTATTTACTATGATGCAAACAATATAAAATATTCTACATAAAATATAGATTGATAAATATCTTAAAAAAAAAGAAAAATAATTACATGAGGATGGATCAATAATTTCGTGACTTTTAAGGTTTTTAACATGCAGTTTTGAAATAGCAAGTTTTGTTTTGTATCATACAGCCACTTGAAGCAAATAGTGTCGTCGTTTTTTTGCGAAAATGAGAATATAATAATCACGAGAGAATTATTATTTTTTTGAGAGGGAGCAAACTAAACACCCTTTCTGAGTTCACTGAAGAAGGTGGTGCGCAGAGATACTTCATTGGCAGTGTAAACAAATTTGGAAATTCTTTGCGACTATGCTTCCACCAAATTAAAGGATCTTCTTGTGTGTGCACAGATGGTAGCTGTAAATAGTTCTCCATTTCCAAATTACTGCCTTTTTTCTTGTACGGTCACTGCCTTGTCTAGCCATAGTTTGGCTATCCACATCACTACAAAAACTGGAATATGCTGGTGAGATCACTCTTCAATAGAAGCTTTCACTAGAGTTCGGCCTTTTACATATGATTCAACTGGTTTCGCCATGCTAACTGATTTATATTTTCAAATTAGTTCATCATCAACCCAGTTTTTTGCTTCATTTATGTCAGAAAAAAAAAACAGTTTTGAAATGTGGGTCACAAGAAAGAGGGTGAGTGTTTACCATAACCTTCGACCCATTTCCAACAGACAGCTAAACGGAATGTCCTTTTGAAAACTAAGAAGGAATGAGAGTTTACATGCCGTCTACGTTCAGAGAATATCTATTTGAAAATTATAGCGCATTTCATTCTTCTTTTGGTACCTTGATCCACCTAACCTTAATAATGAAACAAGATTGGTAGTAAAGAAAATGATATTAACTTTATATAATAAGTGCTTCTGCAAAAAAAATGGGCCCAAAACTCTATGCTGGAATGAAGATATTTAGATACCCTTCTGCAAATTAACTAATTAGATGACTTAATAAAGCCCCATCCTTTAAGTACTAAGCATACTAAGAAGCTTAAAATCCTTTAAGCGTCACAGATATCTTAGCACATCAAGGGGTCATCGGTATATCAAGTAGGAGTGTGAAAGAACACGTAGAAATGACCCCGTTTGTACGGGAAAACTCTTTCATCCTGTGGAACAGCAGAATTATAGAAGAGTATTACGCACTATCGGCAAACCTTGCAATACTTGCAGATATCTCACAGGTGGAAATACGAGCTCAAAGCAACGAAGGAGATTAGTACATATGTACATATACCATATGTTATCTATGAGTAAGGAAGGTTCTACTCTTCAGTCTTTTCAGTCACAACTAATAATTTTAACATTACAAACCGTTTTTGCATTCCAACACTATTTTTGTATTGGTGAACGCAAAAGTTCTGATCAGGCGTCGCGAAGCAAGCCGTGCATTTGCTAGTTTTAAATAAAATAAAAACAAAAACCGCTTTCAGGGCTTTTCAAAGTGTGACAATAAATCAATCGTAGCCTATCACATTTCATTCAAGCTTTGCTTAATTTGCGGTCCGTAATACTTACTTGCGCATATATTTAGTTATGTACATATTAGGGATGTTAATTTTTTCGATTAGAAACGCCTTGTTTCAACCAGTTTTCTTTTCTTCGTTTAATATTTAATTTTTTTTATAAAAGTCTACCTCATTTTATATATAATTAACTGCATTTAAATGCGCATTTCAAAATTTTTACAAAAATTATAAAAATTCCAAAAAATTGCCGAAATTTAAAACTTTTTACTCAGCTTTTACAGGAAAATTTTAGGTACGCAGTTTTCTAGCCGATTAAAATAAAGTGGTATAAAATGATACCGTTGATTTTTTGGAATTTTTTAACGATGCTGGGAATTTTCTTCCATATAAACAAATCGTCGAACATACGTTGTATGGAAGAAAATGCGTGACACCGCCAGCAAAAAAATTATAAAAAATCAACGTTACTTTTAATCATTTGAAACTTGCACTTTATCCTCCAGTAATTTAATGGGCTATACTAATAAAATTGCGTGTCTAAAATTTTTCTAAAAATTCTGAGTAAAAAGATTGAAACACTACGAGCCACATACAGTAAAACTGCGTTATTAGTTTTAGATTTTTTTTATTAGAAATTTATAATTTCAAAATTATGATAAATTTTAAAAAATTATTTGAAAAATTCAGTGCAACGTAGAATAAAAATGGGTACTAAATGAAAGAGAAAATTCTGTAGGATTTAAAAAAAGTAAAATTTTTCGGGTTCAAAAGGACGAACAGGTATTGAAATGCCCTTTTAATCAATTTTATTTTTTTTAAGCTAATAGAGATAGAAGTACTATATTCGAGGACTTTGCCGAGTTTATATCAGTCCTTAACATATAATTTGTTTAAATAAATATTGCAAAATTTCAAGGATATTCAAGGATAAAATTTTTAAGGACATTTACAATACCTTATGCACCAAAAATTTAATCTATTCTTTATCTACAGAATTTTCTCTTTAATTTGATAACCACACTGTTTTCCTAAGTACATTGCACTAAATTTTTGAAACCATTTTCTGAATTACTCATATTTTTCAATTTTCAAAGTCTTTTTAAAAAAAGCTGAAACGTAATTTTACTGCATATATTTGGCCCATAGCTTCGCGAATATATTGATTTTTTTGTATGTAAAATGGCATGTCGCACGGTGTTATGTGTATGTATAATTAGCTAGACATATACAAAAAAAAAAACATTAAATATTAAACAAAAAAATATAGCGAAAACTTGTCAATATAAGGCATTCCATTATTGCCACCATTGCAAATTACAAATCCCGAAAATACCGGGATCCTTGGTAAATAACATCCCTAGTACATACAAACACTATATACACTAACGGTTGCCATCAACATTCAACAGGTTCAGATATGAATAACTAAACTAATTGCGATTTATTGCACCTAATTAGCGCTGATTAAACTTTCCAACACATTCACAAACTCTTAACAAACTCAAAGTAAACTATTTGTTTACAAACAATGCAACCAAGTAAGAAATTTTGCACGACTGAACTAACATTATTAACCGTCCATTTATTAATTGTCAACAGAGCCAAAACCAATGAAAGGCAAAGCAAACGGTGAAATATACCTGCGAGGATTATAAAGTTATGCGCTGAAATGTGTTTAAGCGCATAATTGGAAAACTTCTGCATAGTAATGATAAGGTTGCAAATACTTTGTGAGCAAATCTAATTAGAGAGTTTGACAGTTCCACTGTATGTGTAAATTTTTGCTTCCATAAAGGATAAAACTCATTTAAGAACAGTACAGCAAAAGTGGAGAGATATTCCTCTAAATGTTATTAGAATACATACATAAGGTAAATGTATGCTTACATTTTTTAATACTTAAAACGGTAACTCTCCTTTTTCTTATAACGGGCTTTTAAAAGAGTCTAGTCGACTACATAGCTGTCACATCATAAATGTATCTACTTGTTTGAAAAGAATTAGCTACAGCATTGAGTTACTTAGAATCATTACTACAAAGTAGTTACGTTTACTCACTTATCGGAATACAGAAATTGTAGTGAAGATTGCTGCTTATGCCAACAAGTTGTGGCGCAGTTGAGTAGTTAAAGCGTGAAAGCTTAACAAACAAACAAACTCACTTACGAATTTATAATATATGTAAGTAAGGATTAAACTAACTATATTTCGAAAAAAAATTGGATTTTGCAAATACACAAAATATCCAGCCACTTAAGGACGGGATAATCCCTGTGCGTGCTCTTCAGCTCCACTGTCTAAGTAAATTACCTTACTTTTAAATAGTTACCTGCTGAACCATATGAATACTGTTTCTACCGTGACAATTGGTAATGTTTGTATCCGTGGCAGCATCCCGTGCAACATCTCTTTATGATCAGCTTTATCCTCGATTTCAGACTAGCAAATAAGTAATCGTAGCAGTCCCTGGCCGAGTTTATTAAAACTTGTCTGACTTTGAATTGTGAGGGACGTGACTAACAACATTTTTTTTTTTTGTCGAAGAGAAAAGTACGTATATGTATGTTGACTACTGAAAGCAATTCGCATGTACATATTCGCCTGCCTTACTTTCGTGTTTTCCTTCAAAAAAATCGCTATCAAGGCGAATTAATACACGGTGATAGCGGCAGCACAAAAATAACGAAACTACTCTAACAAATTACATGCATGATGACAATCAGAAGACAAAAAATTTGCGACAAACACATCATTTTGACAATCAGCACAATTCGTCTTGAAATCAGCTGCACCGGTAACACCATCTTGTATGAATACGCCTTGGTGTGTATTTTGTGATGGGCGCGATATTAAAATATGCCGTACCTCAACAAATAACAAAATATGCAGTACTTGCCCGATAAGCTTGAAAATAAGACTGTTACAATGTTGACGAAAGTTTAGTTTTATTTTATTTATAGCTTTTTAATCGGTTTCGAATTTTTTAAATTTTTGTAATCAGTTTAAGGTCCTGAGTTAAAAAAAAATATAGTTCCTTGCCAACAAAACCACTGTTGACCAGTGTTAACTACTAAGTACATATATTACATTTAAATACAAATTTTTTATTTATTTATTTAAGGCTATACAAAAAATAACTTACCTGCGAAACTTCAAATTTATTCTCAGGTTATACAATCCAGAAAATTTTTAAGATCTGGCACACTTGTGGGCTCATTTAAGATTGACTTGTCAACCGTTTATGATGCGCCGGGTATTTAAAAAATTATATCACTTAAACCGTATATATTTTTTTCTTCCTTATCAAATAAGAAGAAACTTTTATTAAATACATATCTATGTATGTACAAATGTATAGATGTAGGTTTTCTTGACGTTACTGTGTATATATGTACATATATTATTTTGAATTCTGCTTCATTCTGTTTCACATGTGAATTTTATTTCTTAAAATCTTAAAAGCACCTGCTTTACACAATGTTAACATCCAAACAACAAATAATAAGATAAATTATTCAATCAACGTGTTATTTTAAAATAAGGCGAATGAAGCTTTACATTCTTTCACACATACATACATACATATAGACATAAGATACAAAATACCCAGCAAAAAAAAAAAAACAGCATTACCTCAGAAATTAATGTGGAACCAAAAGCGAATTGATAAGCGCTTCCCCTTTGGCTTCTAGAATGCATAACTTTAACACGACCATGTTGTTGGCGGTAATGACTTTCAGACCACTTCTCCATCCCCGCATTGGATAAAGGAAGCGAAAGATAGTTTAGACATTCTAATGTAGGACCTTCTAGTATACGTTTTCAGTGAAAATATGTAATCGCTTTAAGTGAAAACGTCTTCTTGAACGTATTACTTTAGAATGACTAAAACTGTATTTCGCTTCCTTAACCCAATATGAATAATGAGAAGTCGTCTACAAGCCATTGCCGCCAATGGCATGCCAATGTTAAAGTAATGTTAGGTACATATACGCTATTTAGGTACATATATGCTCAGCATGCTCTTTCATGCAAGCACTAGTCCAGCTTTTCTTCTACGTGTACACTAGGGTTATTATTTTTTTTAGACCCAAAAGCCTGCGGTGGCATTCAATAATCAATAGTCTAAAACGCTGGAAAAGTTACTTGACTTTGTTCGGATATAAAAAAGGTCTCGCGCATAATGGTATTTCTCTCTTTTTTTACTCAAATAAAGTCGATTTTCGATTCGATTTTCTTAGTTCACTGAAGAATTCCATGTAATGAATAGAAGTAAGGCAAAATAGTGTCGCAAAACGTACCATAAAGGTTTAAAGTACGAACATGGGTCAAAATAGAAAATGCAATGCTAATTAAACCAAAATTTTACGAAGAAATTACACCTTACTGTTCAGAATCCAAAATAAAGGCAGAATTGCCAATAGTTATCTCCAAACTAACTAAGAGGCGCTCATTCCGAATATATCCATAGTTTTTTTAATTGAGCTATAGTTTGCGAAATACTGCCAAACTTCCATAATTATTAACATAACATTTTGGACTACCCTATTTTCCATATAAAATGGCAGGCATAGATTGTCCAAAGGGCATTCGATGGTTTATGTGGTTAAATATTTCAGAAAAAAAAATTGCATTTTGGTCAATGCATTCTTTAGCAAATCAAAATTTGCGTCGAAAAACGGGTGATTTTCTAAAAGCGTGTATACATAGCTTCTTTAAATTAAATTCATCGCAAAACATGTCGTTTTTATCGTATTTTCTCGAAATGCGTTCAAACATTGGGCCTGAATTTCACATTTTATCCGACATACATATATCCACAAAGAATCGAGCCATATTTGGCAAAGATATAGCCGAAAAGGTCGATGAAACTCTACTTTTCCACTGAAAATTTTGTCATCACATATTTAGCACCACAGCCTTTTACAAATGCAGGAAAATTCAAAAAAGTCATAACCCTAGTGAACACGTTTGTATGTGCATATGAATGTAAAATTTTATTTTGTAAATCTTGAATAAAAATGTGTAATCCATTTTTAGATACAATAATACGAAAAAGTCGAGCAATTGATTAATACAATTTGTGTTTGTGATTTATAATAACAAATACAAAATCCTATTCAAATATTACTATTTTATATATTTGCTTTTTCTCTTTCATATTTGTGCTTACCCGTTTGTGCTTGAATTTTCCTTCTTCGCATACATATACATCAATGCATCTGCAACTCTTAAATCTATTCAATTGTCTACTTATCTTCGAATATTTACGAATACACTCGAAACTGTAACATAATAAAATAAAATAAAAAACAAACAACTAAACCTAACGAAACAAAAACCCAACATGAAACAATAAAACCAACTCCACGTACACACAAATATATGCAACAAATAATACAAAACACAAAAAATTATTTGCAAACAAAATGGCAATGGTTGCATTTTTGAAATTTCTTACCTAAACAAATTGGACAACGTATCAAAAATCTACGCAAATTCCACACTAAATTACACTTACTGCCCAAAAATGCAAATGACAACAAATATATGCATGTACATACAACAACAAAAAAAACATCTGTAATACAAAATCAACACCATCATACATACATATTTATCTACTGCAATTAACAAAAACAATTGTTATCATCATCGCAATTAATGCCTATGAATATGGCCATTTTGCGGAAATTGTTGATCTGCCAAAAATGCACCAACACTTGCAAATTCACATCCACGCAACACACATGCAACTACATATATATTTATCATGGCTGCCTGCCCGTACAAAATTCATGCCATCGTGCTCATACATACAAACGTACATATGTGTGTATGTATGTGTTTAAGTGCGCATTCAGGTCCTCCATAGTCGTAATGTTTTACTGCGAAACAAATTGATTGGTAATTTCAAATTGGATATTGCCACCGTTTGGAATCATGCAGGTAACTGTAAATGACAACAAAAAAGGTAGTTCATGCAGATGATTGTTGAAATGAGATAGCGTGCATATTTACAGTGCCGGACAAAAGTATTGGCACAGAGAATTTTTCGCAATAAATGCCAAGATTTTTACTCTGATTTATTTTTTAATAAAAACAAGTTCGTATTTCACAAAAAAAAAATACATAAAAAATAAAACCAAAACCTCTAAACCTTGTGCAAAACTTAGGAAAATTCAATAAATTTGCGTACTAATTTGCAACTTTCTATTCAGATTAAAAAAAAGTAATTCTAAGTATGCAGCCCATTATAGCCCATTAAATTTTAGTATAACAACGTGCAAGTTTGAAGTATCTAAAAAAATCGCGTTGATTTTTTAAAATATTTTTAATAGAAGGTGTTCCTCATTTTCTCCATACAAAAAATAATTGTCGAACATACTTTGTATAGAAGAACTTGAGTGAAAAAAACTTGCCAAAAATCAACGCGGTTTTTTTTAGCAACTTCAAGCTTGCACTTTGTTATACTAAAATTAGATAGGCTATAAAACTGCATACTTAATTTTAATTTTTTTTTAATCTGAATAGAAAGTTGCAAATTCCATGAACTTATCTGAGTTTTGCACAAAGTTTGGAGATTTTCTTTTTATGTTTCTTGGTGAAGTACGAACTATATTTTTATTAAAAAACATTGAAAATAAATTAGAATAAATAACTTTGCTTCTATTGCGAAAAATTCTCTGTGCCAATACTTTTGTCCGGCACTGTATGTACACAACTACATACATATGTATACATGTGTACCCTAAAGATTTAACAGATGTCCGGTAGCTATCCGGTTTGGCGGATAACCGGCCTTAATTTAATGCTAATCGGTATCCGGCCGGCCGGACAGTTTCGCAAAGCAAACGAATCTTTGTTATCTTAGGAAAACGTTTTATAAGTAAAATTATTAAAATTATTTCTCAAAATAAATTCATCATCTATTTTTTGCTTAAATGCCTCTTCAACGCAAACAATAATTTTGGAATCTTGGAATCGGCTGACTATAGAGTTGCTCATGTGCATATACAGGGTTGGGTAAATATTAGCCATCTGTGATAGAGATTTGGCCTTATAATAGTGAAAGTTTCTTTTAAAGGAAGCTGTGAAAATTAGCAGCTTTAGCTTAAACCAAAAATTATTAACAGGGTTTTCATCTAAACGCGTAAATGCCTCGTAACTGTGTAAACTTGTAAATAAACCAGTTTTCGATACAAAATAATCGAGTTTACGAGGTTAACGTGGTTATGTACGAGGCATTTACACATTAAGATGAATTTCCCTTAAATTTTATTTTGCTGACCAAGATGGAAACCGGTTGATCTTTAGAAATATATTTATTTCGGTGACAACCAGACAATGAACTTGTTATCCGCCCGTCGTATAGACGGCCAAATCACTATTCGTTACATCTCTAGTGCACACATTCATGCCAAATGCTGGAAATATGCTGTACAGTAATTTCATTCTGACTTCTCTGAACAGAACGATATTTATGTATGCACCCAATAGGCAAACCAACTGAACCAAACTGACCAAAACCACTAAACTATGTAGTTTGTTTTTACACAAAATAATTTTGACAGAGAAAAGATGACTCAGGAAAAAGTTTATATTTTTGTATAAGAAAAAAACATCTATATTTAATACAAGTTTCAGGTGCGTGTTACCAAATCTTGCAATACATTTTTAAAAAATACAGCTTTAAACTTAGCTCAGAACCCAATGACAATGCTACATATATGAGGTGTCGACATAATTGAAAACCTCATATTTATGTTCCGATTTGTGTTATATCTAGAACGCACTTATATTACTTAAATTGAAAGAAATAACCTATTAAAAAATTTAGCTGTTAGAAATTAGCAGCATACAAAGCTACCCTGCATTCAATGGCGACACTCGCGACAATTTAGCGATACCAGTAAAAAGGAGGGAAGAGAGACGCCTTTTCAAGAAAACGAAAAGAGAGGCAGAAAGGCGTGAGTGCGAAGAGCTTGAAATACTGGCAAGCAGGAATGCGGCCCGAAAATTCGATCAGAAAATAAGGCATCAATCAAATGGTGTTAAGACCCCAGCTCCTGCAAAGATGAAGATGGAAATCTGGTAACAGAAGTCCCGAGTACACTTGAAATATGGAGCGAACACTTCTCGACGCTTTTGAATTGCGGCACAAGTTGCGCGTTTTAAGAAGGAGAACCCAAACCAATGTATAGGCACGAAGCTCACGTTCCTCTACTCGGCCAACACGAGCTGATAACAGCA